GGGGGGGGGGGGGGGGGCTTAGGATTTTGGATTTTGGCCATTGGGAGTGCAAGGCTCTGGCCTAGCTACCGAGGGTTTTTGAGGTCGCGAAGCTTTCAGGCAAAGCTTAGGGTTTGATGGTTTGCAGCAAGAGTGCTTTCTTGGTTTACAAACATTTGGGGCAAGGATTTTAAGCTAGTTTTAGGTTAAGTGCGCTCAGGATCCTAGCAGAACCATTCCGACCCCCCCCCCCCCCCCCGGCACCCCCGAACAAAGAAGTAGACGAAGAAAAGGGCCCCCAAAAGTTTCAATCCTGAGTCCTAAACCCTATACCGCTGGCTCGTAACATGACCTTTCCAAGTTCAGCGTGGCTTCGCAAAGGAAGGTCAGCCCGTATGCCGCCTGCATCTCCAACCGCAACGCCTCCTCGCAAGATGTGGAGGCGGTTTGCGTTTACGCTTCTCTCGTAAAGTCTTGCTATAGGGTTTAGGGTTTAGGGTTACAGTCTTATCATATTACCTTAAGCCCGATGCCAGCAAAAACACATGTCCTGGTATTTTTCAGCGAGCATGCACATCTGCTTCTGCTGCTCCTGGTGCTAGCTTGTTTATGTCTGTTGCTATAGATGTCGTCGAGCGCGATGATCTTACCAATGCTAGCACGAGTGCTGGCGACGACAGCAGCGATGTTGAAGACACCATCGCAACGATTACGAATTGCGAAAAACATCGACTGGTGCATTCATTCTGCTGCTGCTGCTGCTGCTGCTGCTGCTGCCGTTTTCCAGCGCCGCGAAGTTTGCTGCGGCTGCCTTCTAAGCCCTCCCTCCTAAATATTGGGTATATTCGCTGCTGCGGGCTGCCTGCCCGCACCGCCTTCACCGCCTCGCCAGCCCCCCCTCCGCGACTCTTTTGTACGTTCGCTGCTGTTGCCTGCTGCCTGCTGCTGCTACTACCCTAAACCCTGGACCCGAAACCCTGGACCCGAAACCAGAACTGCAGTGATCCCAGTCTGCTGCTTGGCCCCAGCAGCCCAGCGTCCATGCCATGCAGGTGGCAATCGCCTGGGGTCTCGAGCTGAGCAAAGAATGGGGGTTTTATGGCATGTTTCTTGGGTTTCATAGGGTTTATCTATCTTTACAAGGTTTTACAAGGCTTTCATGCGTCACGGTGGGGTGTTTCATAGCGCAGGGATTAGGGTACGTAGGTCCGTGGTACCTGTATGCTCTTTGATCTTGGAGTCTCCTTCTCAAAACTAACTCATAGGTGCCCCTGCCCGACTTCCGCTCGGTTACTGAATTCTCCAATACCCAACCTTTAAACTTGTTGTGTTCTTATTATAACTTAGTAGTAATCTGAAAGTTTAACTTTTTATTTCCCTGGCTTATTGGGGAAGTAAGAATTATAGAACCTTATGCTACCCTGAAAGAGGACCCCCATTATAGTCCCTATAGCACCCTTAAAGGGGACCCTAGCATAGCCCCTTTGTGATTTCGAAGGTTCAGTCAGGTTGAGGCTGTGAGGAATGGATTTCGGCCCTACGTGCGGATCTGTTCTGTTACCCTAAGGGTCCATGTGCTCAAATAGTATATACTTTGGCCCCAAGGTACTTATACGGATTACTTTAAGGTTAAAGTATATCTATTTGGGTACATGGGCCCCAAACCCTCAACCCTAAAGCACCCTAAGCCCTAAACCCTAAAGCACCCTAAACCCAAAGTATATCTATTTGGGTACATGGACCCTTAGGGTTAGGACTTTTCGGAGGTACTAGAGTTTATAATAAGAAACTACGAAAAAGTGGGTTTTGGTAGGTTTAAGGTAGATACTTACTTATATTACTGTTAGGGTTCCTTAGTATAGATGTACTATGAAGGAGCCCAAAACCCTATTCAAAATTTATCAAGGCTCCTACAGCACCTTGTGCCTGATTACGCGGCCTGTTTATTGAATGCGTGGGTTTTCGTACGCTCAGGGTTGAGAATGTCGGACCCGAAACCCTAAACCCTAAAGCTTAAACCGTAAACCCCAAACCCTAAACCTTGAACCCTAAACCCTAAACCCTAAACCCTAAACCTTAAACCTTAAACCCTAAACCCTAAACCCTAGACCCGTAAACATCCCTGAACCCATGAGCCCTCAATCTCAAACTCACGGTTTAGGGTTCAGGGTTTAAGGTTTAGGATCAGCGTTTAGGGTTTAGGGTTCAGGATTCAGGGTTGAAGGTGTAAGGTTTAGGGATTCTGCTAGTTAGTTCGTGTAAAGTACTTAGATGCGCCACGCCCTAATAGAACCCCAACCCTGAGAGCCCCTAAACCCTAAACCTTAAACCCTAAACCATAAACCCCAAAGCCTAAACCCTAAACCCTAAACCCTAAACCTTAAACCTGAAACCGTAAACCCTAAAGCCTAAGAGCCTCAGCCCCAAAGCCCTCGACGTTGCTCAGGCTGTCAACATCTTACAGGCGAGTGGAACTGCAATCACATCGACAAAGGCTGCCAAAGTGCCACTTAGCTGAGAATGCGCCCAGAGACTCCAATATTCCTTAATTAAAGAATATTCCTTAAATCATAGTAAGGATCCTACTATAATTTAAGGAATATTCCTTAATTAAGGAATAATGGAGTCTCTGGGCGGTTGCTGATATGAATCCTGCATGGCCTTAAGGTGATGATGTAGGGTTTAGGAGGGTTTGTAGGAGTTTGGGTTCAGGGTTTGGTATTAGCATCACCTTAAGGGCCCTAAACTATGGGAATCATGATATATTCCTTATGATGGGAAACCCTAAACCCTAAACCCTAAGGCAGGGTTTATGTCATCAACCCTAGGGCAGCTCTTGGTACATGGACCTCAGTAGGAGCTTCAGGACACGTAGTACGGTTTCATGATCAACAAATCCTGCATTATACCCAAAAGATAAGGAATGTATGCCATAATTCCCATAGTTTAGGGTCCTTAAGGGTCATGAAAGGTTTAGATCACCAACCGTAGGTATGGGTTATGAGGCCGGTTTTATCTAGGTATAGCCACCCATCTATTGGGCCGAATAGGTCAAGGGACTAAAGGAGGGATCCTTCAAGGGACCCTTGGGGTTATATAGGGGCTTAATGAGACTGTTTAAGGGGTATAGAAGGGTTATATCAGGTATTAGGATTAGGGCTCCCTTCTAGGGGTCCCTCCTGATTTCCCTTAAATACCTAAACCCTCAGCCTCGACCGGCTATACTGTACCCTAATCCCTAAACCCTAAACCCTAAACCCTGAACCCCTAAACCCTAAACCCCTAAACCCCTAAACCCCAAAACCCTAAAACCCCAAAACCCTGTGCCCTCCTGATTTCCCTTAAAGAGGAGCCTCCAGGGCTTTTAGGGCCGACCTCGGCCTGCTTCGGGGTTGAAGAGCGGCGGAGGCTAGAATGACCCTAAACTTTGAACCTTAGACCCGAGACCCTAAAGCCTAAACCCGAAACCTTAGACCCTAAAACCTAAGCC